GCATAAGTTGACAGGGTAGGAGAAAACAACGAGGCCAGTAACACAGCATAATTAGAATTATTAGGTGATTAAGTCGTGCAGTAAGTTGAGGAAGAAATAGCTAATTTTGATTTGGTTTTGGTCAGTAGAGTTTGGACGAGAACAATAGACGCTAGACAGAGTTTATAGAGTAGTCTGGTGTAGGAAATAGACTAGTACAAGGTGTAAGTTTGTACGGGGAAACAGATGAAAAAAGAAAACAACCAGACCAGTAACGCTGCATATTTAGATCAATTTGGCATTTAGTCCTTGATTAGCTTAAAGCGGGCCATGAGAATGGGAAGAAATGATAACAGGATCCTTTACTTGCCTACTAACTGTAACATCGCTCAACTCATGCGTACTGGACCTGATTCGTTGAGGAGGTCAATGGGAGTATTAAGTAAGGCGGCGGCAGTTTCACAGGTAAGGAATTTGTCTACAGACTGAGAAAAAGCATGGTGATTCGTGATGCTTCCAAGTTGAAAGCTATGCCCAGAACCACCGGCGATGGGCGAAGCACCCATGCTATTGAAGGTAGGTCGAGTTTACGGGCGCACAATGCTAAAATGCAACAGGTCGACACTTCTTGCAGGACGTACCGAACACCACATTATGCTTCATCCCTCGTGCATGTTGCCAGCCAAACAAGGTGGCATGCCACCAAGCAGTCATGATTGCGGCTTGTATAATAATGGAGAAATGCAGCTACCAGCTGTCTGGTCTGTGGAAAGCCAGGCCAGTGGAACAGCTTAATCATTTCGAACTACTAAATGGCAAGCAGCCGCTGAAAAGTAACGGTCGTGGAGGGGGTAAATAAAGCGGCAGCTATCATTGGTACAATAGAAACAGAACGGATGTGGCCAGCGCATGAGTCACGGCTAAACGATGACTGAGCGAAAGGTACTGATGCTAACAGGCTTATCGCAATATTGTGTGCGTGTGCCTGATGTGTTATGTGGCGCATACTGCGTTCTGAAGCATGAGAAACTCTAACTCTTGGTAATGTTGCTTGGAGCGAGGCGAAGTTCCCGATGTACTGCAAAATCTTCCGCAATCTTAAGCCTTGGAGGCTGTAGCGGAAATGTCCACAAAACCGATGAATACACAGCGAGATTTGGACATTGAACGGGATCCATATTCTGGCACCCTTGCTTTCGCTTCCTTATTTCCTAGAAGCCACTAACAGAGAGAGGAATCCTAGCATCTCTTTGTTTGCCTTATGATTCGCTGGGATTGATAGCTCCTATATGGGTAACCGGGAAGCAGCCTCTAAGAGAGGTATGTGTGGTTGCATGGTATGCATGGTTGGGACGCCTCTACCAGCGAGAATAATTCAATGAGACGCCATCCGTGGTTGAACTAGATCGCGTCGTTTACAGTTGGGCGATACAAAAGATGCTTGTCTCCTTACGGTCTTGTGAATTTTGGTGACCATGAGCTTCATGGGTTCTCAGATAATGCATAAACAGGTTATGACATTGCTATTTACACACCTTTTTTCAGACGATGGTCGGGTTGCATGTCCTTTGATATTCGGAGAATCTAGGTTTGCTCCTTTGAAGACCTTTGCAGATACGAGGTTAGAACTTTCTGATGCCACATAAGCCACTAGTGTCTACAAGTCCTCCAAATGACTGTAAATGTCGCATAGCAATGATAGTTCGACGGAAGTCCACCTCTGAATGGAGGAAGGTGCGTTCATATGTCATTCCGGAGGAAACTTAGCGAACGACTTTGCCGTGTAAGTTGGGGATGGACCAAGAGACATCACGATGATACATGCCAAAAAGGATTTGGGAATCCGGCTCTCTTCAAACATGTCTTTCTTACAACGTCGCTACGAAACGACCCCGAAGGCATTCGGCGCACCTTCTTCCGCATTACTCGCATGGATTTTCAAATACCCTGGGGCGCCTAGGTCAGACCGCTTCCTGAATAGGATAGATGCTAAAAAAGATTTGGGCATCTGGGTCTCCTCAAACTTGTCCTTCTCACTACACCATGAGAAATCGGCCCAAAATGCACTCGCCATTTTACGGATGATCCGACGCACCTTCTCCCGTATTACTCGCATGGACTTCCAAATACTATATGGTGCCTACCTCAGACCGCTCCTGGAGTACGCCAACCAAGTTGTCTACTCAGGACGCACGAAAGACGTCACCCTCATTGAGCGTGTCCAGCGGGCCGCCACGAGAATGGTTGCCAGCCTCAAATCCGTGGACTACGAAACGCGTCTCGCGATACTTGATCTGTTTTCCCTGGAGTACCGTCGCCTCCTAATTCTTACTTATGCCCTGTTTGAACAAAGCTTGGCAAACAGGTTGTTTACCGTTGATCCAGCAGACACCCCGCGGGGACATAGTAAGAAATTTTCAAGCTCGGGGCACACACATTCATTAGACGAAATTTTTTCATTTCGGGTAGTAGCTGCGTAGAATGACCTTCCTCCGACGTTTGTACACGCTCCTTCTAGAACCTAATTTAAAGCACTATTAGACATTTATTTATGCGAATCCTCGCGCTGGCAAGCATACTGCCCCGCGCTGAGAACATAAAGAGCAGTGCTACGCCCCTTTTTTCCTTGTGCCTTTCAGGTGAACGACAGTCACTGAGTGACAAGAACAAAAGAGACCCGGGAAACTTGGGCAATAGCCTCGATCCTGTGTATCAATCCGTGAATCCGTGAATCCATGATTTACAGCCGGCCGATATTTTGGATCACAACTTCTACACAACCACCACAGTATGTGCTACTCGAAAACAGGCTGGTTTCTCATGGATGAAACATTCGAAGTGCGTTGAACTGTTGTCTTTTATTTTCGTAGCGGATGATAAAGACGCATCTGTGAACTCCACATCCAGGTCACAGTTCCTGAGTTGGATTGGATCAGATCCCGACCACAAGCTCTCACCTTGACATGGTGGTCGGGTTTCTGTGCTGCAGGGATCCTTCTGGCCATACTGGCTGGAACCCACTTCCTAAAAGTTTATCCATTCCAGGAAGATTAACGGGGAGTAGCATGCCTCCGTTTTGCGAGTAATCGTATTACGAGGTAATTTGTTTTCTCCAGGCGACCACCATGCCCACGTCAATGGAACATTGACGCTTGCTCGCCAAATATTTGCAAAAGCTCGTGAACCGTTCCATTAAACAAATCTTGTGGATTCTTTGGAAGAATATAGCACACTTGTCATGCTTTGTGGGTATAAGTTTGAGGAGCAGGAGGGGAAATTTCCAGCTGTCATCCTGAGTTGGAAGTTGACCTTGAACAGGTCTTCATAGTGACGAAATCAAGCATCAAGTTTTATGCCAGTCGGAGATTCATAGCAAAACTCGATTTCGTCAACCGACTGTGGGACGTTCGACGCAGCCTGTCAAGCCAAAGATGAAGTTCAGATTCACCCTGTAAGTGCTTTTGTGAGTTGAACCTGTTCCCCGAACATTACTTTGATTTGATCTACTTCCATCTTTCGTCGCCAAATTTGTTACGGTTTCCCGCAGGCAGCCAGCAACGATACTATGCGCCGACTTTGATGATATGCTATCCCCAGCTATATTGCCACATCCCGACCCCTAATACAGCGGACCAGTAAGAAGACGAAACCTTGAACTGAACTATAATGCTCTGAAAAACAAGCGGTCAACTCGCGATAGCGGAAAAGTGACTTGAAAATGCAGGAAGTCCGTTAGCACACACAAAGATAGAGTTTTTGGGGATATTTATATCCCCGACATCTTCCGTGTCTCAACCATCACCCGGGAAACTAAACTGTCCTAAGGCCAGCCGTCCACAATAGCTGAACTTCACTTGATTTGAACGAGTGCCTCACGTGCAGGACACGGACCAATCAAAGGCACGTCCTGATTGGTCAGAATGCCAGCCAATCCGGATCGAGCATCTTTGACTCGACGCTTCTCGTCCCATTCACGGGGATTTTAGCATGACCTTGTGGAACACTGTGATTACCCTGTGAATACGGTTGTAATAATTTTCCTTTGTCTCCAAAAAGGGCTATGTAGAGCTACCGCACCGTTTGATATGCCATAGTGGGCGGAGCAGGAAGTCAAGGAACCGATACAGAGTCGCACTGTCGCTCAGCAAGACACAACATAAACCAAAATGATCAACTATTAACCTCAAATATCTGATTCAAGTTGCAGTCTTCAATGTCCGTACTCTATGTCTAATTGAGCAACAGGCATCCGTTGCTGAAACCTTACTTTCCCTCTCCGCCGATGTATGTTGTCTGCGAACCACGCACACAAGACCCCAATTGGGTCGTGTTCCTCAAGCCGCTTAGGACGAGCCCAGATGTTCCACACCTCACCCTTCTGGCATCCGGTGATCCTAACGCAATTGCTTGTGGTACCTACGGTGTGGAAGTGGCACTCAGCCCCAAGGCTGAAAGCGCTTTACTGTACTAGATCCCAGTAAACAGTCACCTTTGTTCTGTGCGGTTGTCTGGCTCAACTAAGATTAACGCAGGTCGATGCGGTAAATGGTATTTGTCGTATCAGCATACACCAAAACAGATAGCAGTTCTGGGACTGAGAAGGACGAGTTTTATCACGACTGCTTCGGTCGACGAGAAGGACGAATATATTAATCCTGCCGGGTGATATGAATGCCGAAGTTGAACGTCTAGGTTCGGAAGAGGTACAGTTAGGTAGTCAATTTAGAGTCGATGTTGAGCGTACGGATAATGGAGAACAGCTTCTTCAATTGTGTGAAGATCATCCTCTGTTCCTGGCCAGCACAAACTTCCGACACAAACGCATACACCGACTCGCTTGGAGACTCAGTTGGACCGTATGGCTGTCAGGTACCTATGGAGAGCCTCAAGGATTGTCGAACTTGTCTGTGATCACGCCATCGTGCGTTCTCGCTTAACACTTCGCTGTCCGCCAGCACTACGCGTGCCGAAAGAGAGCAGCTCCGTCCATCAACTTCGACAAGTTTCAGTAGCTGAAGGATGCTGAGCTGATCTGGTTAAAAAGCTCTGAGAAACGCAGTCATGTATAGGATAAATGGTGAGTTAAAGAAGCAATACTGTCAGTTGTCAGAACTGGTTGTCCAACCCATCCGCCTCTTCGAGATCAGCGGATCTTATTGCTGCCAGAAAGGCCATACTAGCAACTATGTTGTTGGGTGCAGATCCCTAAAAAAACCGGATAATCAGGAGCCTGAAGAATAACAGATAACGCTGGTGGATTTTTGAAGGCCAAGGAGATGGGGAAGACTCGTTGCAGCAATAGTGGCGCTCTGTTTCAACTGATCCGATCAATGGGTCAAAGGAAGGTAGGTGTCAGTGAGACAACTTGCGAAAAGGACGGAACAGCAATTCACTCCTTCAATCGCCGTCTTGAGCGGTTGGCTGAACACTTTCAAGGACAGTTCACCTGGTCTCCTTCAACACAACCAGTGGTGTAAGACAAGGCTGTCTTCTTTCCCCTTTCCTCTTCAACTTTGTTATTGATATGCTGCTTGAAATTTCTCTGCCTGCCTCTGAAATCTCGGGAGTCGAAATGTTCCCGTAACGTTCCCTCACAGACATTGAGTATGCGGACGACATTGCTCTTGTTGATTCAGATCCTTCCCAAACGCAAACGATTTTCAATAACCTAAATAACTCCGCCGCACGGTTTGGTATGCGCTTTACACCTGCTAAGTGTAGAGTGCTACTGCAAAACTGGGTGGGGTCAAAGCCACACCCCATGTTTGCAGGTGAACCAATAGACGTGGTAGATAAATTTGTTCACCTCAACAGCTGTATAGGTTCCGGTGGAGTGGCTGGAGATGAGATTGTTTCTCGAATCGGAGAGACCATGGCAGCTTTTGCCAACCTATGGTGCCGACGTGACGTGAGCCTGTCTGTCAAGGGGAGAGTTTTCACTGCGATGGTGCGATCCATACTGCTTTGCCCCTACGCTTGGCCCCTACGCGCAGAGGACATGTGGAAAGTGTCAGTGTTTTATAATCGGTGTCTACGCAGCATTAGTCAGGACTGGTGGGAACATCGGATTAGTAATGCTAAGGTACGCCAGATGGTCTTAGGAAGTAGGAACTCTCACGCTTCATAGGTTGCCCTGGTTGAGACATGAACTCTGCGTGCCAGACGACCGTCTACTTCACAGCTCGTTTTTCCAAGCCATGTGGTGAGTGGAAGCGAGGTGGACAGTGTATGACCTGGCATCGAAGTAAACTTAGATGGGTGGGCAACTGGACCTCCTGATGGGGACTCAAATCACAGTGGTTAGTGACATCGTCGGAAATGGCCCGACCGCGCAGTCAGTGGCGCTCATGCGTCAAAGCTAGCGCCTTTAGTGTGTAGCTACCCCATTTCCGAATATTTGCGAATATGCCTTCGCCTCCAAGGCTTGATTTTAGGTTCCACTTTCCCGTTTTCCGGTGATCGAAACTGTAGTAGCTAGAACCAAGGTGCCTATGGCACACGCTTTATAGCTGACAAATTGAGTTGAATTGACCCGTTGGTAGTCGTCTCTGCGCGGTTCTTTTTGCAGCGTTTGTGAAAGAACGTCGAGGTAGTGTGGTACAACGCACTTTGTTTATTATAACTGCCTACACCCCAATGATTGATTGCTGTGAATCTGCCAAGAATGGTTACTGTGACACTGTGCCCTTTTACAATAGGCCCGAATTAGTGGTAGGGTAATAGTCTTCAGCTGTACCACCATATGTCTAGCTGCTATGCTTTGACCAAAGGAAGCACGAGCGATGAGGTACTGGCACGTTTCCCAAGCCTTGGCAGTAGCAGTCGAGATGCAGACTTTAAACTAAAAGCTTATGTATCGTCGTGGTTGCTGGCAACGTAAACGCCCACGTAGCTAGACTGCGCTGCCGAAGGCGAAGCGAGTGATCTTGGATTGAACATGTAACGCACGTACAACGGAAATATTCTAGTTCAAATGTTTGTCGATCACGGGCTTTTCGTTCGTAGTACCAATTTCTGGAACAGCGGAAATCGCCGGACAAAGAGGTATCCAACAAGGAACGAATCCAAATAGACCGAATCGGCGTCAGTTACCACTGGCGAGGGTTGGTCACTGCGCGCCACTCCTTCTGGAATACCAACGTGGACTACGACGATGCGCTCGTCCGCTGCTGCTTTCTGTCGCGCTTATCTGGTCTACGCAAGACGCACACTTCACTTATTCAGTGGATCTGGGAAGAAAACGAATTTATCAGGACCGGCTACCCCAAAATTTTGCTGGATGGTTCGATGTCGGATGTTACAGGCCCCTGGGAACAGGTGGCTCAATCGCGCTCGTGCATGCTTTCAATGCCTAGCCAACCGGTTCCCAAACTAACTGAAGATGCCATCACCTCCAAGGCTTGGTT